CGACCAACCAAATATTCCAGAAGTTGAATTTCCATTGAAAATGAATTGATTTTTTTTTAATTTCATTCACTTTTTTTTTTCTTTTATCAACAAAACCAATAATAGTTACTAAAGAAGTAATTCAACTTTAAACTACTCAAGTTTTATAAAACAATATTATCATCAGTTAAAGATGTAACAAACCATCATTAACTTCTTCTTTGACAAAAACATTAATACAAAATTTCAAAACTATTTCATGTGTATGTTGTAGTTATACTTTAAATGAACTTAACTAAATTAAACAATGAAATAATAAAAGAACATCAAAAAAATAAATTTAATAAAATTCTCTTAAATAATACTAAAAACAAATAAGATTTAACATATTATTGAGTTAGAATATTTTTATATATTAAATTCATACTCACCCAATTTTTAGTAAATAAACACAACACGTTTTAGTGTCAATAAATCTTTTTTTTTGATTTCTACTTCACATATTAGTTGTTTTATATATTACTGACTTTCTTCTAATTTTTTTTTTGATGAAATTACATTAATAATTAATACACCACATAAAAAATAGTATGAAAAACACTTAAAGAAATGAATCAAAGAAGAATAAAACAACCATTTGGAACTGTAAAAGAGTGATAATTAAAAGTTATATTTTCCTCTCTTTGGTTTAAAGGTTTTCAGAAAAACTAAAAGATTAACAGATTCATGTCATTTTTATCAAAGAAACGATGGCATGTTGGTAATTATAAAAACAGATTAAAAGTTGAATTAGCAGAATTAGAAGCTAAAGAGAAAGAAGAAAATGAAAAAAATCGTTTAAAAGAAATAAATGAACAAAAAGAAATTTTAGAGTCAATAGAAAAAAAATTAGGGAAAGAGAAAGCAATTGAAGTAGCACGACAAATCCAAACTTCATTTGTTTATGAACCACCTCCTGGATATTCAGTTTTTATGGAACAAAAAACAGAGCAAAAAGAAAAAAAAAGAGAAGAAGAAAAACCAAAAAAAAATAATAGTTTTAAGGATTTTAAGAAAAAATTAAAAGAAGATCCAATAAAAAAGTGTGGAGAGAAAGATATTGAACAATTACTAATGTGAATTTGCTTTTTGAGAATTTAATAAATAAGTTTAATAAACAGAAAATGTTCTGATCTTCTGAGTAAAATAGAATTAATAAATTTAAAAAAGAAAAAGTAATTAATTAAGTATTAATAGATTTTTCATCTATTCTTCCTAGCTCAGGGGAGACTAATCCCATCCCTGAGCTTATTAAAAAAGAGTAATCTCTTTGTTAAACCTATTCTTTATGTTTTTCTTGCAAAATGAGGAAAGCACTTCTTTGTTTTATTTCTTCCTATTAAGGTTTTTCAAACTTCTTCTGCTTATTTCTTCTTTTTAAGCCTTTGTTTGTTTTCTGCCTTAATTTTAAGTAATTTCATTTTTCTTATTTTATGAATGGGAGAAGGAATCATTTTATTACTACTGTATTACTTTGACTAATCTTCTTTTTAGTCTTACTTTGACTAATCTTCTTTTAGTCATACCCACACTTCAGTAGGTTCTTATATTACATCCATGTAATATTCTACTGTATTCTCTTGCTGCACCCTTTGCAGCATTCCCTAATACATTCCTAATTCAAAAGCACCGTCATAACCAGATAATAACTGGGAGAGTCGAAGAATGAATTTGTATTAGTATTTATGTGTGGTGTTTTTACATGTCAAATCCTATCTATTGTTTGTTATTAATAATTTATATTAAAAAATAAAAAGAAAAATATAAAAACAAAATTTTTTAAGAAAAAATAAAGAATTGATTGGTTAATTTAGCTAAGAACTTTTGGATAAGTTTCAATGGGTTAATATCAATAGTTTAAAACTTTGAAATTATTTTTTGTATTTTATCGTTATGATTCCAACTCCAAGACCATCTACCTGTGGAAAAATTAACTTATGGGTAAATTTATATTGTGCTCAATACATTCCTCTTACAAGTAAGTTTGGAGAAAGAGATTTAGTAGGAGTAATTGTTTATGAAAAACAAAATAAAGGAAATATTGTCCGAGTAAAGTCAAATGTTGAAAAAAATACTCTTAATCCAATATGGAACACACCTGTATTTCTTAAAGATGTTGTATTTGGTAGTGTTTTATTTTTTGAAATTATTGAAAATAATAAAGTAATTGCTAAAGCATTATATCCAGTTCAAAATATTCCAAATAATAAAAGAATGACTTATGTTTTACCATTAATAACACCAACATTAACATATTCTGGAATATTAAGAGTTGTATGTTATGAAGGAAATACAGAACAAGATGTAGCAAATGTAATATTTAAATTCAGTGATTTAGAAGAAAAAATGCCAGTTTGTAATAATAGGTCTCGTTTAGAAATTACAGCAGAAAAAATTTCAGGAATTCATTCACATGTGTTTTGGGCAATTGTAAGAAATAAAAAATTATGTTATTATCAAAAAAAACATAAAAGTGAAATATCAAATAATAAATTTATTATGTACTTTGAAATTGAAAATGAAGACTCTTTGGAAATTAAAATTATTGATAAAAATGGATTTCATTATTCTGATTTTATTTCATTTAAAGAAAAACTTACTTCTTTTAAAAGAATTGAAACGGATCAATATGTTTATTCTTTAAAATTTATTTTTACTCCAGTAAATAAAATACCACCTACAGAAATATTACCACCTGAATGTCAAGAATTTATTACAGATGATTGGTATACATCAATGGATATTGACGTTGAATCTTTTATTGAATATGAAAGTCCTGAAAAACAAACAAGTCTTGTTACTTATGAAACTTTTCAAAATTTTCATGTTGAATATGACTGTGATTGTATAACAGATACTATCGTTGAATCTTGTCCAATTCTTAATAGACATTATTTGGATAAACCTATTAGAGATGTTATTTCAAAAGAAAATAATAAAAAAATCTATAGCTTTGGAGATAGTTGTATTGTTTGTTGTGGTGAACCTAATCAACTAGGTGTTTGTAAAGCAGTTATTCTTAATCCAAAAAATACAATTAAATGTTATTTAAATTTAAATACAATTGATGATGATATTGATTCTATGCTTATGACTAATATTCATAATAAAGTAAAAGTAATACCGTTTGTTTTTTTTTCTTTAATTAATTTGAGAATAAATTTATAATAAATAGAAATACAATGTTAGACAAAATTATTTTTCTTGAAGATAGATTAAATAATAATAAAGAAAAATTTGGAATTGTTGTTGGAATACCAGGGCAAGTTTCAGAAAATGAATTTTTATCAAATAAAGAACCATCTCCACTTGCTTTGGAATTCTTTAATTTACTAGGTCAAACAATTCAATTAAAAGGATTTACTAAATATAAGGCTGGATTGGATGTTGTTACAAATACAACAGGTACACAGTCATTATTCACTGAATTTTGTCAAATGGAAATAATGTTTCATGTATCAACAATGTTACAACATGTTGAAGGAGATGATCAATTCTTAGATAAGAAGAGACATATTGGTAATGATGTTTGTGTTATTATTTTCAAAGAAGGAAATGAAAGTGTTGATATTTCATCATTTGTTTCACATTTTAATCATGTGTTTATTGTTGTCCATCCTGTTATAATTGATTCTAAAGAATTATATGAAGTTGTTGTTGTAACAAAACTAACTGTAAAAGCATTTAGACCAAGATTTCCAGAGTCTAAATATTTTCAAAGAGATTCAACCTTTAGAGATTGGTTATTACAAAAACTTATTAATGGAGAACGAGCATCTTTGCTTGTTGACCAATTTATTCAATCACAAAGTATAGCAAGAAAAGGACTTATTAATGAAATTATAGTTAGCTCAACTCAAAAAAAGAAATAAACAGTTAAAGGTATCATTTAAATATTTATTAATGGTTGTTAGATATTTTAATGAATCAATGTTGAATTGTTTATTTCTAATTTTTGTTTATTTGTTTTAAAACCTAAAAAAAAACTAAAATAAATTACAAGAATTCAATGGTCAAATGTCAACTCTGCGACACTAATCCTGTTTGTACTAAAACTTCAGATGGTAAATTAATTTGTAAACAATGTTTTATTGATCGTGTTGAAAAATTAGTTCATCAATGTATTGATGAATTTCAATTGATTTACCCTACTGACCATATAGTTATTGGTGTTAGTGGTGGTAAGGATAGTACAGCATTAGCAACAATGTTAGCTCGAATAGAAAAACGATGGCCATCTGGTGCGAAATATACTCTAGTTGCTGTTGATGAAGGTATTGTTGGGTATAGAGACAAGTCTTTAGAGTGTGTGAGATGGCTTCAAAATTATTTACAACTTCCTTTAGAAATAATTTCTTATATAGAAACTTATGGAATGACAATGGATGAAATTGTTACAAGAGGAGGAAAGAATGCATGTAGTTATTGTGGAGTATTAAGAAGACAATGTCTTGAAAAGGCTGCAATAAAAGTAGGGGCAAATGTTATTGCAACTGGTCATAATGGAGATGATGTTGCTGAGACTGTATTAATGAATTTTTTGAGAGGAGATGTTGCTCGTTTAGAACGTTGTAAAAGTTTAAAAAGAGAATTAGAAAGAGAAGATGGGATTATTAGAATTAAACCTTTTAGTCTTTTGACACAAAAAGAGGTTGTGTTATATGCTCATTATATGAAATTACAATATTTTAGTGTTGAATGTACTTATGCAGGAACAGCGTTTAGAGGAAATGCTCGTACTTTCTTACAAAAAACACAAATTTTACATCCAACAATTATACATAATTGTGTTATTAGTAATGAACAAGCAAAAGCTGAATTAAAAAAAGAACAATTAAAAAAGTCACAACGATGTACAGTCTGTGGAATGCAATCAAGTTCTTCTCTTTGTCAGGCATGTAAAATGATGAAAGAATTGAGAAATGGGATGCCAAAAATTGAATTAAAATAAATTGATATGGTTTTTATTAATGAATTATTAGTTAATATCCTTTCATATTAAATTTGGCTGTTTTAGTAAATGGAGTCAATAATATGATCAATATAAACATAGTAGGGAAATGAACTATACAGATCACAACAAATTGAACCCAAGTATTAAATTCATCAGTAAAACTTCTTGGAATTGATGTTTGTGCACTTACTATCATATAAAAATTTGAAATAAACCTTAAAGATGATTGAATCAAAAATAGTACTGAAACAATGTCAACACAAACCATTGTTTTGAGTGGTGATAATAAAATTCCTGAATAACTTATTCCATCTTTAGTCATATATGATAATATTATTGCATTAATACATGAGATAAACATAATAATACAATAAAATATTGTTAAAACACAATAATATTGCCAAAGAAATCCACAGTCAAATAAAATATCAATTGCTGGTTGTGTTTTTATAGAATAACCATAAAAAAAGAATCCAAAAGATGGATTAATTATAATTAATAATATTACATAACATACTTGATTAATCTTTCTACAAACAATAAATAGTGTTGGTTTATTATAAAGTGATTTATCAATATAATTATTAATTACTTCAAGTGCAACAAAGAAATATGTAAATTGAAAGAAGTGATTTAAAGAAGATGTTAAGAATGATGCTACATTATAGATTGACGAATTAATTGGTCCATCTGACTTTAAATCAAAAAAGTCAAATAATAATGTGAGTATTACTGTGGTTATGAATAAATACATTGAAACAAAAAATACATGAATTCGATAATTGATTTTATCACTTTTCATTGTATTAATTACATGAAAAACACTTACCACAATAAAAGAAATAATATGTAATCCAATTAATAACCAAATAGCAACTTGTGTTTGGGAAGTATCTCCCATCTGTGCAATAAAAAAGTATTTGTTTATATTTTTTTTTTTTTTTTTTTAATTTGATGAAAAGAAAAAATCAAAAATAAAATGACAAAAAATAAAAAAAAGGAAAACTTAAAATAAAAGAAATACAAAGTCTAAATTAAAAATGAGTATAAAAGATAGAAGGAAGAAACCAATTAGTCTTAAAAAAGACAAATTATTTTCTGATCATACAAGTCAACAAACAAGAAGTTCTTTAGCAAAAACGACATCATATCAAAGTGATAGAGAATCATTACCTACACCTTCAATGAATCCAAATCCAAATCAAACGTTATTATTTTATGTTTGTTCATTTTTTTTTTGATAAGTTTTAGGTTAAAAAAAAAATTAATAAAAACAGCAATATGACAGTGATGGGTTTGGAGAATTAACAATTCAAGAAATAAGAGAATTTCTCCAAAACGAAAAAGGCATGTATTTAACAGATGAACACATTCAAAGTATTATGTCAAACGTTCTTATGCAAACAGATAGAATTAAAATTAATGACTTTATGAAATTTTGTAAATACATTGAAACAGACCAAGAGTATTTAGTAAATAAGTCATCATTAGATAATAGTCCTGTTTATCGACATGAAGACTCACTTTTTCAACAAAGAGATCAAGATAAACCAAAATATTTACAAAATGTTTGTGTTATATTGTAAAAAAAAGATAGTATATAAAC